GTAAGGACCTTGTCAATGTACTACTGCTATATCATCATCTTACAGTCCACAGCAGTCACATTTTGGGAGAACTCACAATTTTACACTCAGTGATGGGGAAGGTACATCTTTCTGAATCATTACACTGAGTCATTGTTACTATAGTCAATACTATAGGAAAGATTTGGGGATAATGACATTGAATACCATGCAGATCAATAGAATTGTAAAAAAAAAAAAATCCACAGACAAAAGGTGTTAGCCATATTTCTCATGTTTAGCAAAGTGCCAATAGGTACACGATATAAAGGTCATCTTCACTAACAAACCATTTCCCAGCATCCAGTCTTAGGATCCGTTTTGTTCCTCACCACGTGATCCTGTGCATATGCTATGAAATGCCTCAACTGGGTTTTAATTTCTTTTCATATTTACTTGGAAAAAAGCATAAAGATTTGCATAATGAAACCATGACTAGGTGTGAGTGTCTGAAGTAGAGCAATTTATAACAAGTGCTTTGCTTTTAAAAAGGAAAATAGCGGAAATCAAGTCAGTCCAAGGACCACTTACAGGCAAGCTGTTGTTTCACACCAGCACAGCGAACACTAAGCGAGGCCGATTCACGGAAACCCTCTGTGGCCTTGCTACTCAAAGTCCCCGGAAAACCCAGCGGTAGGACTTCTCCTGGGGGCTCGCTGGAGATACAGATCCCCTGGTCCTAGTTCAGTTCCGGTAAATCTAAGTCTCTGTGTGACCACCAAACTCTCTCTCATTGAAGAAAACTAGGAGATTCCCTCTGTGCCCGCCACCCAGGCCTCACCATGGACATGGAGCCCCACGTGGGAACACGGGTCGGGCAGAGCTGGTGCCTCTGTCATCCCTGGACTCAGATCAGGAGATGGCAGCAGACTGCTTGCGATGGGTCAAGAGGGAATTCTGTTGCACTACCTCAAAGATGGAAGGAATGTTTCACTCTCACATCCATGTTTCTCTCTATATATCCCTCTCCTTTCCTCTCTAAAAATAAATTTTAAAAATCTAAAAAATACAAATAAATACAAAATAAAACCTCAATCACATGAAACACATGCAGTCCAATTACGTACCAACTCCATGCTGTTGCTGCATTTATCTACAAAGCTTCTGGCTCAGGGTTTCTCCCCTATTCACTGCGCCTGTCTCCTTCCTGGCATCGACTGCATGGTCAGTCACTGTAAGTACGTACTCTCTGGCATAACCCTCAACCTCCATGCCCCTCTCTTTCTCTAGGACTCACCAGGAAAACCCTGGTTAAATCCACCTCTCCACCTACAAGGCATCTGCTGCATTATCTGTGCTCCCCCTTCAGTTGGGTAACCACTAACCTGAAGTGGCTGTGGGCGCGAGCAGGCAACCCTAATGCATTTCCTTTCTTCATTTACTTATCCTCTCTCTCAGATGTCTGCTTCACATTTTCCCTCCCTCCTCAATTTTTCATACCTCTTCATCAGCTGACCTGGTTTCATTCATCTCTGAGACACAGGAACAATTTTGCTCCTCTTCGTCCTCAAGGACTCTGTTCCTACAATTACCATAACCTTTCTTACCTTACTGGTCTCTCCTCCAAATCATTCT